GTGCATTTCGGATTGTGAGGGCGATTGTTACTTCCCGGCTGCCCACACCGTGGAAGTTGGTTGCGTGACCGCAGAGCCCAGGGGACAACTGCTTGTGGCCGGTCACACGCGGCCTGTTTTTGTTCGTTCTTCTTGTTTTGTGTGCCTCAGTAGCATACTTATCACTCCCGCCCTGTGACACGGCAGCAGGAAGCGCGGTCGTTGTTAATCCGGGCCACGGCCGATCCGGCATGAAATTTTGTGAATTTGTTTGGATCATGGTATTGGATGAGGTAGCTGCTTTTTGTTTAACCGCTATCCAAACAACCTGCCTGGCATGGTAGAACCTCAAGAGACATAAGTCTCAGCCAGTATAGCTTGATTAGGTCATTGCGGTGTTCAAGCCCGACCACCACGTCAAGGTAGCAGCTTTCGGTCGGGGGTGGAGTTCTGTGCGTGTTGTTGTTGTTGTTGGTGGTGGTGTATTTCTGGGTGAAAAGCAGGTGATGGTCCGTTCAAGAGTCCTTTGAAGTGACCAACACATTGTTATATTTATCCCCCCCCTTGGTAATCAGGTTCCCTTGAACATCCTTCATTGGTTTCGTCAACTGGCTTGATGTCTTCCCGGATAGCGAGAAGCCTAGTTATCTGATTTAATCTTCTCAGGTCTCTTTTATCTACAGCCTGTATGTTCTGCTTCAGTCGCCAGCCAGTGTGTCGCAGAATTGTCTTTTGTCTTTCCTAGCACTATTCTTCACTTCTTTGTTCGGTGTAGTGTACATGGAACTCAGCTTCTCCTTCTGTTGTCCATCTTTGCATTGAGTTATCTTCTCTGTCATCATCCTCCTCTCCACGGTTAGCTTTCAGATAGGTGTCCGTTGAGAGCCATTCATTGTCTTGTCTTGTCTTGTCTTGTCTCTTCTTACTTCCCAGAACAGTTGTACTCGTTTCCTTGAACATCACATTCAGAGGATTCCAATGTTCTTCCACACAGGTTTCCTGAGTGATACCACGCAGTCTCTCCGATTTTCCTCTGATGTGATCTGTAGTGAAGTTATGCTTTGTAGTTTTCTCTTTCAGTTTGGGAATGTTGAACTTCAGTTGGGGCCTGTTTCCAGATGTTCTGAATGCTTTCACCTAGACCTTGAAGTTTCCTGAACTAGATTATGATGGTCTGAGCCCACATCTGTTCCCCTTCTCGACTTTGTATCCAGCAGACTGGCTGCGTCCTCACTTCCTTGAGCAGTAGCATTCAGATGGAGTCTGTCTGGTTTGTGGAGTGTCTGTCAGGCGAGATCCATGTTGCTGTGTGTATATCTTTGTGCTTGTACACACTGCCTGCTATAACCATCATATCACTGAATGCACAGAAGTCTGAGAATAATTCTCCTTTCTCATACATTTCTCCGAGCGAGAGCCTCTCGACCCACGGTGAATTCTATTCCTGTATTTTCTGCTCCCAGTTCGACTGTCATTCATATCGTCCATAATGATCTTGATGTCGCCACTCGGGATGTTGTGAATTACTGTTTGTAGTTGTCTGTAGAAATCTTCCTTCTTCTCTTGTTCCGTGTTGTTTTTATCACTGTGCTTACCAGAGCATGATAATTGTGACCTACCTTCCTTCCTTGCCTCATTTTGAGTTGAATCTTCCTGTTATGATCCTTCATGAGTAGACTGTTTCTGAATGCATTAGGGCTTTGTCTGGCACTGGTGACGTCATGCTAGCCACATGTAGCCTCAGAGTTCTCGTGGTTGTCGTTTTAGTGACTGGAGGGGAGTAGAATACTGACTCTGCAGTTGGCATTCTGGGAAGTACACCTCCATTCCATCTCCTGTCGTCGATACCAAGTATTTCTTTGATATACCTGTGCATCGCTCGTATACTCATATATAGTATGGACATTCCATGTCCCCATTTCGCTTCCATTGGTATGGGACACATCGCATGGCTGACTGGGCTCCGGAACGTTTCCATCAACCTGCAGGATTTCTGCTCTCCGATTCCAGGGGAGAATAACTTGTACATTTAATATATTTCTTTTCAGTTGAATTTTCTGTCTCAGTTTGATTTGTTTTGTGGGGTATGGTCGCTAGCCCCAGACCCAACCCTGAGTCTTTATCTGGTGTTGTGACGGGCTAGAAAACTAGTTAACTAGACGAGATTATATATATAAGACCAGTTCTTTGTTTCTCAGATAGGTGCCATTATAACATTTACTTACGGGCTTGTGCATGTCATGTCCAGTTTCTCAAGTGGTTCCACGAACGGATGCTAAACCGGCCGACCGACTTAAAACTACGCATCAGTTCAAGTTATCATATATCGAAATACAAGATTGTAGTTCTTTCGGTGTATGACAGATTTATGAAACTATGTTATTCATTTTCCAATGCTTATCTTATTGCAATGAGTTTAAAATATCATAATTGATCTCTGAATTGACGCCATTAAGTGCTGGACTATTTGAAAGCAATCAGCAACACCTCATGGTTTACCCACGTTTCGTAGCAGTTATAGCAAAAATCTAATCAGTAAAATTTGGTGGACAGTGGGTACTAGGTGTTTTCAAATAAGGACACCTTTACCAGTTGTTCCCCTTCCAGTCTTCTTTAGAAGCATTATTTGCCCGATATTACAGACACAATAGAAGTCACGAAATATGCCTTCATAATCTTTGATTGATTAGGTGAATCAAGTATGAGAAACAAGTGTATTTTATGAATTGGGACTGAGGTGTGTTGAATCATCTCCAATTTTCCTGATATCTCAGTGAATTAAAGCTCACTGATGAGGAAGCCTCTTGTTGAATTATATAAACAACCGCTACATAATTTATATTACTAGTCTAAAACAAGATTATGCCAAATTTTGATGCTGTTGCATTAATCGCAATTATTTTGTGTATTAACCTTAGGAGGAGTGACAGCAAATGAAATGAGTTGATTTCAATCACAGAGCTACTAATAATTTAACTTACTAGTTGTTCTGAGATAGGTATTTAGTGTTTATATTTAGAATAGTCATTTGAACTTTGTAAATATTTTTGGTGTGAAGGCAGTTGCATCTGCTTACTAAAATATCGATTGTTGAACGTTGGTCATTTAACAATCCTAGGGCTAAATGGTTTTCCTTTTAACTGTCTTATACAAATATATTTCGGCTTGATGGGCTTGAGAATTCTAGTCATTTTTGAGATTGTTTTCATTGTAAATCGACTGACCATAAGGGATTACATAATGTCGGATAGTTATTTTTCCCCTCATTGTTTGGTATAAATTTTCGTGAACGCTCCAAAATCAGAACTCAAGATAATCAAGGTGTAGATATAGCTTGTACTTAGTGAAGATATGATTCAAGTATGACTAGTATTGAGGTAGGAGAATGGTAAAAATCATCTGATGGTGCCATGAACATGCGATAGTGGAGATAAATGAAACTCTAGATATGTCGTATTTTACGTCCAGCTTCGAGTAACATGCTGGGTACAGTAGCAGTAATTATATAAAGTAATTGCAACAGTGAGACGAGAAGATTGCACCATTTCATAAATTAAATTATGTAGTGTGATATTTTTAAAGAGCAATATTTCTCTTAGTTAGGGTTTCTGGAATATCTGAAACTGGTATCACTGGCATCATTTACCGGCCTTTTTTTCGCCTTCTTATGGTCAACTGCTACCGTTGTCTATCTACTTTTCCTGTTTTTATCTGACTTTGTTTTCAAAATGTCACAGCTTATGTCGATAATTTTTTGCTTCTGTTACAAAATTACTTCCGTTTATTTCTAAAGCACATTCACGTATGGATATTCCCGTTTGAACCACTACAATCGTTTAATCCATCAAGTTTTCATCTTCTAAATCTCGTGAAAGTAAATGAAACTGAATGGTTATTTTAGCATGCGACTAGATTTAACTGAAAAGTTGTTGGATATGTGGTGGCAGTTGAAAACTTTCTCCTTCTCATGCAGAGTTTCTGATTTCAAGTATTTCAAGTATTAACCATCCAGCTCAGAGAACACAGCCACATCAAAATTTCAGGTCTCGTGGCAAACAAGTCCTGACAAGCAGCGGTTTCCACAAGTCAACACTCATCTGTTCATTGTGTAACAGGGATATAATCTTGTACTATCAGGGTGTAGCCAATCAGGAACCGATTGTGAAACAAATAGGCAGGAAGAAATGGAGATGGATTGGCTGGCCATACGCTGAGGAAACCATCAAGTGACATCACTAGACAAGCCCTCGAGTGGAACCCGAAAGGGAGGCAGCGAGTTGGTCGTCCAAGGGTGACTTGGAGGAGGTCATGTGAGGAGGAGATGAAAGCATGTGGACAGACCTGGAGTGGGGTGAAAAAGTTGTCAGAAAACAGAAGGCAATGGAGGTGCGCAGCTGAAGCCCTATGTTCCTCTAGGAGCTTAAGGATACAATAATAATAAATAATCAGGGTGTATCTGACTTTCTTTTTTTATTTCCCCTACATTATACTCTCAGATTTCTTAAAGCCCTGGCATATCTGTATCAAAAGTTGCAATTAACGTCAAATGACTTAGTTATTATGAAATGCCTACATAACTAAACACGGAGCATTAATTAGTGTCAGCTTGTAATAAATGCCCGTCAGTGTATTAAAATACAAGAGTCGCTGATTATGCTTAAAGCCTCGTGGACATAAGATAATGACAAACGTGCTCATGATTGAACAGTTTCAACCTGCGCTTATATAGGTATAAATGCTGTTCGAATTCCAAATATTTATCGTGTGATATCAATTATTCATGAAGTGACTGGCTCATAAACTATCTAAATGTACTTATGAAGTAAACTGTTTTGAATATGACCTTTAACTTGAAGTACTTCATGCCCTACAAGTAAAACTTCGATATGTTAAACTGGGTATTATTGTCAAATTTAGGGAAGTACCTTAGTCTTGTTGAAATGAATAGCAGTGTTTACATGAAAACAAATTCTTATGGTATTGTTAATAATGCTTGAAAACAGCGAAATCATAATACTTACGTTGTTGACGATCTCATACAACGATCTACTTGATCTTCACACTCATCTCTGTGTTTTTGTGTTTCACACGACACAGTATGTAGCTTCATTAGTTTGTGCTCCTTTGGATAAGGTGGTGGTGGCGGCGGCGGATTTTGCAGAGAAGTGGAGTGATGACAGCTTGTCGAATGCTGTTGTGAAGGTGAGAATCTTGTGGTCAAAGGATACGGTATGTTTGTGAAGTCATTGCTAGTCTGATGTAGTAAATCTGCCTCGATGCCAAATGAGGACCTCCAAATATGTGGCAACATATCACTGTTCAGCATCCTTGAATAGGAATCTTTGATATTGGAGTAAAAACTCCTCTGGAATAACTCTTGTGGACTTTTTGTAAGTATATGACCTAAATATTGGAATAGAAAACATTAGTCGTCATTAGAATATTACCAAGAACAGAACGGATTAAGCAGATTCTATTGGCAGACATGCCAAACAGTTTTATCAATTATTTTGCTTACTTTGATCGTGAATAGTGCGTCGGTGGCACAGTAGTAGAATGCTCGCCAACCAAGCATGTGGTTCGATCCCTGGCCGACGCGCTCCTTTACCTCGCTAAGCCAGTAATAAGACTGGTAAAGAGGGAAGGTTGGGCATGAGGCTGACAACCCCATCTTATAAAAATAAACACCACTGTTACCGAAATTTCGAAGCTCTAGCTTGAAGCCCTATGTTACACTGGGAATCGTAAAGAAATAAAAAAATGATCATGAACATGTAAAGTGAGTTGTGTTTCCTTAGACTAGATACGAGTGAGGTCAAATTCGTATTAATCAGTTTAAGGCACATAACTTTGAATCGTGTTACTGTCCATTGAAAGGAAACCTTTAGTTGCATCTGAATTTGCCAATTATTTGCGAAGATCTTATTGATATTCGCCTGATAGAAGTTGCTACCAATAATAAGCGAAACGATTTCCGAAAACAGCAATACTGTAATTACCAGTCAGCACAGACGACCGGGACACTTGAGGAGCAATTCAATATGGATTCAGACATGCTAAATTTGCCCATTATTCACTTGAATGGGATGTAGACATCGGTCCCCTAACTGTAACTGTAGTAGCAAAAGTTGCATGTAATCTAAAGTGAGGCAAAGCAGTGGGGCCTGATGGAATGACTTTAGAGGTGTTTAAGGATGTTGGTGCTGAAATGTTGTCTGAGTTAGCTAGGTATAGGAATCCGATATAGTCCCTTTTTGAACTTGCGTAAGTTATTGATTATTCCGGTTTACAAGGGGGAGAAATGTCTTCCAGTGACTTGACTAAGACAATATATGAAATTAAGGACGCAGTAATAATAGGTAGACTATTCAGTGCTCAAGAGGAACAAACTTTTGAAAACCATGAAGGCTTTGGGTCTAGACGAAAGTGTATTGATCATATTTTCGGTCATCGACAGATGTGGGAACATAAACGTTCTTGACGGCGTCCAGTACTTGCCATATTTCTTGATCTGAGGGCTGCATAGGTTGTGTGGCTATATTTGGCAGCTGTTAGAGCGCAGAGAAAGTATGTTACACTAATAGAAGGCACTCCAGTCGAACTCACGCAGCCGTGTAAGATCTCATAGAGTTGTTATATGAATCAATAGTAACCAGTAGTGCCCGTCAGGGATGCTCAGTGTTTCCATGTCTGCTTAACTTCATCATAGATGTACTAATGAATGTCACCTTGATCGACTTAGGGATTGACTTGTTACTAGAGAACAGTTTCCTCGGTCTAGATAGAGTATGCAGATGACATAAAGTCCTTGTAGGTGAAAAACGCTGGACACCTTAGGTAGAAGTCTTAGTACGTTTGGCATTCGATTTTACCCAGTCAAATGTGAGATGGTAGTGCAGGACTGATCTTCATCGACTGATGGATCAGGATTCAAATGCTTGAGGGTGTTGACCGTTTCACTTATTTGGGAAGTTGCATCAACCGTAATGGACTTATTGGTGACAAAAGCTCAGCACGGATGAAAAAGGCTCATGTGGCATTTGTCAACTTACGTCATCTCTGGCGTAGACATAATATCCAGCCATCGACAAAGGACGTGTGTACTGCGCTACGAGATATCGTCAATGAAAGTGGAAAACATTAAAAGGCTAGTTGTTTTTGATCATATGTCCCTGCGTTCTATTTCCCGTGTGAAGTGGTATAATAGGGTGAGCAATATTGAGGTTAGGAATCTGTCAAGTGCTAGGTGAGAAGGGGAAACCAATCGAAGAGTCTGTGAAGTTACACCGACTGAGATGGTTAGTACATGTGTTACGTATGCCTGAGCATCGCCTTCCTCGCTAGACAATGTTAGCTAGCTGACATAGGGTCATGTTGGAAAAGAGCCGATGGTGGTCAGTGAAATCCACAGCAGCTAGTTTAAGCTAGTCACGTAGGGACGTGTTCGGGTTGATTGGGGTCATCGGCTTGGTAAAAACCAATGGTTGGAGACAATTGGTGATATGGCTTAAAATCGTTCTCAATGGCGCAGGTGCATCCACACTTTATGACATATAATATGCAATAGAGCTATACTGTTCTTCGATATTACTATTCCTTTTGTCTCATATCTCTGTTTACTGCCTCTGTTTTGCATTTCTTTTTATACCATTCTCTGGCTTTGTGTGCTACACGGAGTGTGGCGACTGGAACTGCTGCACATCAGCGCAAAGATTTACGTTGAAACCAGTGTGTCAGTCACTGAGAGTGGAAGATATGAAAAAGGTAGCGATCTCTGACCACAAATGATTGAATACTATCTCCCATGTTAATAAGTATACTATGATGAGTAATTTGCCTGTGGTCAGCAAATTTCGTTATATCTGACGTAAACGCGATATCTGACTATCGAACGAAAGGTGTATGTTATGTCTATTCATGCGCGACGTCCTTCTCTGAAACATGTAATTTAAAAGCTGGAAATATGAAGCGTTCATCTGTCATTGACAACGCATGTCCGCATTGTGTATCATCTGTCAACGGGTATATTATCCTTAATAATATTGAGATCAGGAGTTGATTAATAGGTGAAGACTCCGGATAACAGACAACAACCACGAGAACACTAAGGAAATGAGTGGAGAGCATGATTTCACCAGTGCCAGACAAAGCCCTAATGCATTCAGAAACAGTCTACTCATGAAGGATCATAACAGGAAGATTCAACTCAAAATGAGGCAAGGAAGGAAGGTAGGTCACAATTATCATGCTCTGGTAAGCACAGTGATAAAAACAACACGGAACAAGAGAAGAAGGAAGATTTCTACAGACAACTACAAACAGTAATTCACAACATCCCGAGTGGCGACATCAAGATCATTATGGACGATATGAATGACAGTCGAACTGGGAGCAGAAAATACAGGAATAGAATTCACCGTGGGTCGAGAGGCTCTCGCTCGGAGAAATGTATGAGAAGGGAGAATTATTCTCAGACTTCTGTGCATTCAGTGATATGATGGTTATAGCAGGCAGTGTGTACAAGCACAAAGATATACACACAGCAACATGGATCTCGCCTGACAGACACTCCACAAACCAGACAGACTCCATCTGAATGCTACTGCTCAAGGAAGTGAGGACGCAGCCAGTCTGCTGGATACAAAGTCGAGAAGGGGAACAGATGTGGGCTCAGACCATCATAATCTAGTTCAGGAAACTTCAAGGTCTAGGTGAAAGCATTCAGAACATCTGGAAACAGGCCCCAACTGAAGTTCAACATTCCCAAACTGAAAGAGAAAACTACAAAGCATAACTTCACTACAGATCACATCAGAGGAAAATCGGAGAGACTGCGTGGTATCACTCAGGAAACCTGTGTGGAAGAACATTGGAATCCTCTGAATGTGATGTTCAAGGAAACGAGTACAACTGTTCTGGGAAGTAAGAAGAGACAAGACAAGACAAGACAAGACAATGAATGGCTCTCAACGGACACCTATCTGAAAGCTAACCGTGGAGAGGAGGATGATGACAGAGAAGATAACTCAATGCAAAGATGGACAACAGAAGGAGAAGCTGAGTTCCATGTACACTACACCGAACAAAGAATTGAAGAATAGTGCTAGGAAAGACAAAAGACAATTCTGCGACACACTGGCTGGCGACTGAAGCAGAACATACAGGCTGTAGATAAAAGAGACCTGAGAAGATTAAATCAGATAACTAGGCTTCTCGCTATCCGGGAAGACATCAAGCCAGTTGATGAAACCAATGAAGGATGTTCAAGGGAACCTGATTACCAAGGGGGGGGGAATAAATATAACAATGTGTTGGTCACTTCAAAGGACTCTTGAACGGACCATCACCTGCTTTTCACCCAGAAATACACCACCACCACCAACAACAACACGCACAGAACTGTCCGTCAGTGGACACCAATACTCCACCGAAAGCAGAAATCCTGAATGTGATCAAGCTACCGAAGTCCGGGAAAGCAGCAGGGCCAGACGGAATACCCTGACAAGTAATGAGAACGAAACCAGAGACTGTGGCAGACGTCATCACCTCGTAATTGAAAAAAGCTTTGAAGGAAGGGAAGGTACTGACTGATTGGAAGAAAGGCTACCACGTGAAACCATCAAAGAAGGACGACTCAGTCCTGTGAATGAACTGGCGTGGAATAATGCTGTTGTCCACGCCGAGTAAAATACTAAGTCACGTCATCCTGGAAAGAGAGAGAGAGAATCAAAGATGCACTGGATACTAGCCCGTCTGAACAAGCTGGATTCAGGAAAGAGAAATCGTGTGCTGATCAAATTTCTACTCTACGTATCGTCATCATCATCACAGAACAAAGCATGGAATGTCAGTCAAATGCCCCTACTTCAACTTCATCGACTTCGAAAAGGCCTTCATCAGACGGGGTTGACCGAGAAGCAATTTGGAAACTGCTTCAACACTACGGTGTGTATTGCTCAAATATTGGTTCATATCTAATTTCACGCGAACTCGAAGACTTAGAGGCAGGCGGAAACCAACAAACTGGCGGAAGTGGCAGTCAGCGAGCACATGACTCCAGGTGAACAGTAAGAAGACAGTGGTGATGGAGATATCCAGCCAACCACAGCACCACCACCAACAACAACAACCAGCACAGGTCACCATCAACGGGAGAGATTTAACAGAGTTGACTTCCTGTCTTCATTTAACTTGGAAGCATCTTTACAACTACAGGCGGTCGGAACTGTCTGTCCGTCTGTTTTCGACATAGAACTATACACAAATGTGCGGCAGTTCAAGTCGCCACACTCCGTGTAGCACGCGAAGCAAGAGAGGAAAGTACAAGAAAAGCATAATAGAAACAGTGAGCAGAGGTGTGAGACAAAGGAGTAATAAAGAAAAACAAAACAGTTTCATTGGAG